ACACTGAGTGGGCCAGACCTAGCAGGAACAGCCAGGAGCAGCCTTGCAGCCCACAGCTACAACCCACCCTCCCCCACACCAACCAGCCCCATGTTTCCCAAGTCCTCGGGGAGGGGAAGGCTGGGCTGGGCTGTTCCTGCGGGGCCTGGCCTTTGCTGCGCTTGGGGCAGGCAGTTGCAGCAGTGCTGGGGGGCTATGGCACCCCGACTGTGGCCCCACTCTAGCACCACTGCCTGGCCCAAGCACAGCCCAACACCACCCCAGCCACCCAGCCTGCCCCGTCCTGCCAGCAGACCCAGGGGCGCACACACGCCATCCTGCATGCCCTCCCTTCCCCACACCCCCCAGACAAGTCGCTCATGGCTCTATCCCCCACCCTGCTCTGGCTGTGCAGGACCAGGCCCTGCCCAAGCGCCACTCCCAACCTCATAGCTGCTGCAACCAACAGCACTGTTCCATGTTGTGGGGGGGACACGTGCCTCCCGATCTGTGCGTGGCTGAGGCAGCTACAGGCTGGGGTTTGTGCCCCGAGCCCCGCTGCCCATACCCCCCCAACCTTAGCCCGCCCCCCACCCAGGATCGACTTCAAGAGGCTCCAAAATCCACCAGTCGATCCCGATCAACCGGTTGGTGACCACTGGTTTACTGCAAGGATGGAGCCAAAGAAACCTGTCCTGCACTGGCAAAGACAAACAAATGTCAAATTTGAGAGGTGGGAAGAGTTAGGAACCTGCAGTAAGAAATGAAAGTTTCTTAGGACAAGATTCAGAAATAAACTTTGATAGAGTTTAGGCACATGAGCCCACAAGAGAGATCGATAGAAATCCTGTCTGCCCAGCTTTGACATAGGTACCTATACTCTGTTGAAAATTGACAGATATCTGAAGTCAGCTCCCACATACATCTAGAAGGGCCGTCATCTTAGCTTAGCTAATCATCTAGAACTGGGGTAGACAACCTTTCCTGGTCAGAGGCTGATATGATCCATCCAGGTCTGAGGAGGGCGAGTGCTAGGATGTGGCTGCTGCTGTTGCTGCCAGCCTCGGCTGCAGCATGGCAAGAACACCTGCAGCTCAAATTTGTTCCCAAAGCAGCACAAGGATAGCATCTGCAACTGAAGCCCCCTCAACACTGCATTTTTTTTCCTGGATGAACTTGCGTTAAACTGCATTCAACATAATCAAGCAACTAAAGCTGTTCCACCTGGATGGCAGCACAATCAGGAGTTTCTATTAAAAATGTCTTGGATTTTGCCACTAAGCAATGTGCACACACACACTTCTCTCTTGCGTACGTACACTAAATAGAACAACAAAAAGATGAACAACATTCAAGTAATGATTTCCACTTTGCCTAAATTGTTGAAGGTGGCACTGGTACAGAAATCTTTTATTCCTCTGTCCTTTAAGACCACTGGGAGAGCCAGTGGCAGCATTCATTGCCATGGTTTCCAGAGCCAGAGATGCCACCGCTTCCCCACTGCCAAATTTCTGGATCCTTGGGGAGCCCTACAGGCCAGATGAAATAGCCCTGCGCATGGCTTCACTCTGCAGCCAGATCTACTATGCGGAGTGAGGCTGGTGCACTGGATCGCACCCACTAATCAATCCCACGTGCTGATCCACCATGCAGGAGCCAGCCCACAGGCTGACCCCACCTATAGGATCCTGACCAGGCTTGTTCAATGTCGCTCATCCAGTCACAGGGCTGAAAGGCTGAGCACCACTGCTTTAGGCAATAAAAAGTGTAATTAATCAAGTAACACAAAAGGAAGAACAAGATTGTCCAAGGTTTGTGAACTTCCATAACTTTTCTGGGAAGTGGTAATTTTTAATGGAGTTCTCCATGACAACGAGTAAAGCTCTGTTTGTATTTCTAAAGTATGAAGTCTCCCTCTAAACAAGAATGGTTTAAAATTTAGTTTGCTTTTGAAACACGGGACATTAGAGACATGGCTGCAAATCTACAAAAGGCTTTTAGTTAGACTCTAGAATACAGAAAAGTATTATTGCCCTAGAAAGATCACAAATGCTTCCAACATTACTTAACTAGGTCCTTTATCAATTTCCTTGCCAATTGCAAGTCATCCTTATGGTCTTCCTACATTTCAAGAAGTCAAGAATCCTGCAGCCAAGGTAAACCATGAATCTCCCATTCTGTTTTGTTAATTGGCTTGGCATTTGTGAATCCAATTAAGCTTTTGCCACTACTTCCTCTCTTAATCAAGGACTTCCACCCATTTATTACCCTGCTTGCCACTATCCGTTACTTCTGCACTGCTCCCTTAACTTTAAGGGCCTTAAGCAGAGATAAGAAAGAGGTGAAAAAGCAGCCTCCTAGACACTGATTTCAGTTCTAAGTTATGGCAAGCTGCTACCTCACAAACTGGTCTAAGGTGAGATCTCAATTACAGGCTGAAGTAAAAAGGAACTCTTTAAGGTAAGAAATTAGGAATTCAGATATAGTGGTAATTCACCACAAGAAAATCAAGACGCAGCACTATTATATAAGGCACTTGTGAGACCTCATCTAGAAGTGCTGTGCACGATTCTGATCACTTCATTCAAGATAGATGAATTCATGTTGGAATGAGTGCACAGAAGGGTTGCTCAGATGACGGAAGAAAAGGAAAATATATTTGAGAGGAGCCTGAAAGAGTTTGGCTTGCTTAGGCCTAGCAAGACCTAAACAGTTGGTATGACAGGTGTTAAGCATCACCAAGGAAGGACAGTTAAGCTAAAAGATTATACTGATTTAAGAAAAAGATGAAAAAAATGTAGACACTAGGTTTTAAACATAAATTATGATGTTCCAGAAGAGCCTTTCACTAAGCTTGTCCCTACAACTCCAAACTAGACAAGTTTATGCAAAAGGTATGATGGGAAAGGCCTTACATCACTGGGAGGCTGTACTCAACTCAGGAGATCCATTCAAATATATGCTACTTTCAGGCACAGAGCCAAACAATTCTAATTAGAGCAAGTAAAGTAAGTATTTCTCTTCACTGCTGAACATCTATTTCATAGTTCAATAATATATTAGTTAGACAATGGGTTAAGCCACCAATTTCAGCAGTTTTATCTCTTTTTTAAAAAGCAATGTCTAGTTTCTCATGATTATAAATAATACCACCCCCCCCCGCAAGTTAATGGAAGCAGTACTGTCTTCCTAGGTCTGCAAAGAGAACATAGATGCATTGAGTTGCTTCTATCCATTATTACAAAAAAGCTTAGCAAAGTTACCAAAGGCTGTGGCCAACTCCCCTGTTTCTACTCATGGCAGGCAGATCGAGCATGACCAATCTAGTCTCTCTTTATGACCAGGTTACGAAACGCCTGGACACAGGAGGAGGGGTGGATGTCGTATACTTAGACTTCAGGAAGGCCTTCGATACGGTATCCCACCCCATACTGGTGAA